TTAGCATCTACAGCAATCTATTTAGAATCACAACTGTTGATAGAGTTGGAATAAATTAATTGGTAATTCCATTATCTATTTCAAAATAGAAAGAGGAATTCTGCAAAAATCTTCTAACTATTGTTTTTACTTGGAATAATAGGTGATTTGTGAATAAGTTTGGACAGTATTTTAAAAAAGGGATTAATTTTGTAAGTATGGTGATCTCAGAGATGAATGGTTTAATCGTGAAGATTATTTTGTCTTTCTAGACTACAGCACATACTTCAAGAGAAAATACTCTTCTACTTTTTGAAACATATGCTGATGATTTAGGCTAGAAAGGCAATGGAAGCATCAATATTAGGCCATACACTTTAGAATTTTTAAAAATTTACTATTTTTAACCTTCGTTTAGCAGAGACCATCGATCAGTAATCTAAAACTCTGTCGTGAGCTCTCCTATCCAGTTATTTCCAAGTGCTATTCGTACCTATGATGTCTGCCTCTTATTCCCGATACAGAATATTCGCTGGTCTGTCTCTTTTCCTTTTGTCTCCAGGATTCCAAGTCAAGGCTTGCTTTTTGACTTGGTTTAATGATTTCCATAATGTGTGTCCTATCCACATCTAGCGTCCGTTCATAATTTCTTCTTCAGCTGGAAGCTGGTTTGTTCTGTGCCAGAGCAGGTTGTTGCTGATGTTATCTGGTCAATGGGTATTGAGTATTTCTTTTATTATGGTTGTACTAACTCTTCAAGTTTCAGTCCCGAACAAAAGACCTGTCTTGACATTTATATTGGGAGTTCTCAAAAACACAACCAATCCCAAATCCTAACTTATTTTACAATTATTCTCCCGTCGATATCCGTCAGTAATAAATAACTTTTTTCATATTTATTTAGTTATTGGTTGTATTTCATAAACTTATTCAATGAGTCATCTTTAAATCGTAGCTAAAGATTGAAATCTCAAGGCAAATCTGTCCAACATTAGTAAAAGTAGAACTTCGGGGAGGGGTGTGAGAAAGAATATATTGAATGATGGATTGCACATTTTAATTCATATATAAAATAAGGAAACTCAATAAAGAAAGCCTGAACCTTATTGAACCTTATTGAGTCTATATTAGGCATCAACTTAGAAGTATTTACTTATGAATTTGCCGCAAAACAAACTTTGAGTTTACATGTTCCAGTGACAGCACATTATCCGTCGGTTATTAAACGTCAATCACAAAACTGACTTTTACGATATTTATAATCATTTAATTTTAATTTGTTATTACGTTTTGAATATCCAGTGATGGGTTGATAATGAAAACATATAACCTATAACCATTCCCTCACATTTCCACTCTACATCATTTGCTTTTATTTTGTCAGGAGAGTAGTATGATCAATGCCGTTACAAAAATTTATAGCTTAAAACTGAATAAGTATATCTACATTAACATTATTGATTTTCTATCCGAAAACCTGTGATCTGTTTTCATTTTGAGATGAAAATGAAGGACACAATGAGTTCATCAGACCAGTTGACCTAAGTTATACAAAATACCATAGCACAATAATAGGTCACTGCATGAGTGCAAGAATAGAGCATAATAAACAGCTAGATTATTGAACAAGTAAGTGGTTAACGTTTAGGTTGATTATTTCTATGGAATAACAAATTACAAACTGTTATGACTCTATGTCCGGTCTTTTATCACGTGATTTATCCACCAATCAAATTAAGTCTTATACAATCTTCTCACTGTGCCAAACCAATGACGTTCGACCGGTATGGGCAGTCTAGCGTCCTTATTGATCTTATATCCGCCTAGCCCGTCCACTTGAGTCCAGAACACCAGTACCAGCTTCTACTATGCGAATCGAGTCATTTATTTCAGACATACTGTGTTTATATATCAACCAAACAGACCGCAACGCACCATAAAATAGGAAACAACATTTGTACACAATAAAGCCAAAAAGTGACTGTGAACGTGGGACGCAGTAGTCAATAAACTGAACATAGCTTAAGAACAGTAAATCGTACAATAATAAATTATAGGTCAAAATAAAGCTCATAACAAGGGAAATATAAATATACATAATCTAATTACTGAATATAAGCAAAAATGGACAGTGGCTAGCAGTGGAATCCAGGACGCGCGCTTCGTCTTGTCTGGAACTCGAACTCAGTACCGTTCGGTTCAAACGCCCATCGCGTCATCCACTTAGCTACTGAGTCCTGATAGCCACTATCCATCTTTGCTATAATGCTTGTAAATTAAGGCAATATCGAGGCATACCACAGTATGCACAACTAAATGGACACGTTCTCAACAGTGAAATCACTCGTAATTTACTCGATAGTGAACATGATGTTAATGTCTGGAAATCTTTCAAGATGTTCAATAAGTCAAGGAGTCCTAAACTGTTATCTTCACTCGAAGCTATTGCAATAGAAAAATATAAATAGAATTGACGTATCCAAAAAGATACTGTTATCAATCTTGATTTGCCCTAGTGACTTTTTTTCGTGAGACTATTACGTAGGACATTTTTCCAAAAACCTTAATTAAAATTTCAAATATCTTAATTCTTACACGGGAGCTTTATTCAACTAATCTATATTTTTAATTGAGTATTACACAATTTATCTTCAATTTTGAAAAAAATCTGTTTCCATGTTGTTCTAGAGCATTCATACATATTCAACCTGCAAATAAGTGAACGTTAAAGCGGTGTCAATTCTTCCATATCGTTATCTTTGATTATTATTCTATCTCCCACCTATTAACTCAATTTATTCGAGACATTTCCGATAAAAAGTATGTAACCTTGTTTCGTTTTCATGAATAATACTACAGCCATGGGTTGTAAGCAGCTGAAAGAAATCCACGAAATAAATAAATTTATGTTATTCTACAACGATATTTTTTATTATTATGCAATTGCTAGTAGGACACTGTGATAAAACATGATCCACGAAGATTATGTCGGAGCACGTTGACTGAACTAATTCAACCCAATCGGAGCTGTCAGATAAAAAAACTACGGAAGCTTGTGTAAAATTACAGGTATTCTAACGCTTTTCTTACTAAAAATTCATCGTTATTCAACTCGGTTTGCTTTGAAATATAATTAAGTTCCTGTCCAAATCGCCTTCTGATTTTGGGGACTAGTCGAGTGAGGTAAAATGTTCGAAGAAGCCTAAACTATAAAAGCAACTGAGTCGAATAGCGGAAGACTTGGCAACAATGGTTTTACTAGTTACGAAGTGAAATCATCTAGAGTATAATTAAGAATCAAGTGGTAAGTAACTAGGACTACACTATCTGTTTAAATTGTCAAAATCCAAGCCAATTTTCAAGAGTGACAAAAACTGATGTACAAACTAATCTCTCAGTGTAGGGAAACATAAGGTCCGTTTGTAAGAAGCCTTTATGAAAATAAAAAAGTATGTCTTGGATGTAAAACGATTCACAAATCGACCGAACAATAAGTTCATATATGCCTAACAGTCAAAACACTATGCTTCCAACTACAAGGTACCTAGTTCGAGCTCTAACACTAATCTACCTGTTTGAGCAGCAAGCTAGCATTATTAACCTTCACATAAAACGTAGCCCCAGACCCGAACACAAAAACTCTCATTTAGTAGATGGACTACAATTCGCTTTTTTGAAATACCGGCCTTCGAAATATATTACAACATTAGCTGAGTAATTAAATGCTTATATGTTGTTTACATAGAGGGTTTCGATAAATTTCGAACGAGGTAAATAAACAATAATGCAACTCAGTATGTGCACGTTTATACGCAAAGCCGTGATTTACGCCTACAATGTAGGAAACGATAATAATACTTAACAGCGTGGCGTGTAATCAAAACACAAGGACTGGTAATTTAGATTTATTTGACGCCGGAAATAAATCAAATTTTAACGTCATTTCACCTTTTTCAGTTTCGAGCACTCATGTATAACCATTAGTGCTCTGACGAACGGTGTGGTGTTTAAACACAAATACACAAAATCTGTATGAGTGATTGGTCACAGAATAGTAACTAATGTCATATTTGTTTAGTCTTTAAGTGTCAACAGAATTCTGTTGATTAAGTTGCAATGTAGTCATTTATTATTATCTTAACACAGATATTGGTACGAGGAGGCACCAAATACATATGCGCCACACAACTCTCATTCGATATGTGTGAGGGCTGTGATACTGCCCGGGTGCTCAAACCGAAAGAGCTGGTTTTCTTAGGGCAACGCTCCCCGAGCCTTCGACCTGAAGGTCTGATCCACAAGGCAGTGGAGCATCGTAAGGAGATGCAGTCCCATGGAAGCCGGTGACCAATAATTGGTTCATACGCCATTTGTTCCCGCAGGATACTGGAGCCCATGTGCACCATTGATTTGGGATCCGGTTGAAGCACTGGACATTCGCTTTTCGTCCTCTCAATTTCGTAAACAACACCCCCGCCATAAGAAGGCAATGAGTAGGACTTCCCTGGCAGAGGCTATATATGCGTGGCCATGTGAGAGTATTTCGAGAGGGAGAGCGGACTCTCCCCACTCTCGGCCGTACCAGGGCATTTGGGGGTAGTCATTAGTCTGAGTGCATCGACATTTCTTGCAATATGCAATGATATTAGGTGATGATTTGTCAGTTTCATCAAGATTGTAAGTAAACCAACTAGTAAGAAACCTGGGCCCAGGGTTTTCTGTGGATTACCTCCAAACATTTAACACTTCCGACCTGTAATTAGCAAAAGATTACGAAGTGTTTTGTCTGCGGATTCTTAAAATTTATAACCATTCAGTTAACAGCCATTTGGGGGGGAATCGTAAGGTTATATAGTAATAAAAGTAAACTGAGTCGACATGATATATACAATCTTAAAAGCATTGAACATGGTACCAAAATATCGTGATATCCAAATTATTTCAAAACAAACAATCACAATTTTACAAGTAGTTCCAACATGAATCATAGAATCTTCGCCTACACCAAAAATTCGGAATACTTACGATGGATTATTAGTATCATTAACAGTATTCAATAATTTCATACTACTTAAACCAGTATATTCCGATGACTTTCGATTTGCGTAGAATACTTTCATTAAATCAGTGTAAAGATCACGTGCTATCTTGATATTATCAACAAATCCATATATCTTGGCTTGTTTTTCACATTCAGGCATCCAATATGTGACTTTATTATTATGAATGATAGTGGCATAGGTTTGCTGAAAGTTAATACACAGTGAAATAAATTACCTATTATGTAGTTACTTAATTAATATTTGAGTTGATTAAGTCAACAGGAAAACAGTTACTGACTGTTATGACTCGCATCTAGCTACGCGAATCGAATCTTAACGAAAGAGTAAACACAAGAGTAAATGCAAAGCAATATTTTGCAAAAGAACTTGTACTACGCCCTGAATAACTGTCGAACCCACACTCAAACTATTGAGAAAAAAGAAAACAATATTTGTTCTTCAATAAAATTGATGATACATAGAATAGTGTATGAATATTTATACTTTTTCGGTGTTTTAGAGAATAAGCTATTCAGGATGCGAGCTATGTGGATTGATTCCACAGTAAGTATGCCGTTCAGAAACTTAGAACGCTTAAGTTTGGAGAATCGTTTTTGACTAATTTTGGTCATCAGTTGGAAACATTGGATGAAATAGATCAAAATCGGTGTCGGCACAGATATATTTGCCCTTTATCTTCATTTAGATATTGAGTACCAATATTCCTTCATATGTACCTTTACATTCCATCTTGTCAAACCATATTCTATATCTTTAGCCTTTTGTGTTATCATAGACACTACTATGGTCTTGATCTATCTGCTACTTAGCCAGTTAACTTTATCTTGTTGGGTTGACGTGACATGACGAATTAGGTTAACTCATTTCTGTGCTCAGCTCCACAGTGATTATGAATAATTGATCATAAATGTACGATATTTTTTGTTACGGTTTATTTTGTGATTTCTGTTATTATTTAGTTACAAAATAATAGTTCACTTCATGATATCAATCAGATACTAAACAATAAGTAGATCGAGCAAACTTCACATTATAAACAAATGGCAATTATTTGTCACAAAAATATTAAACCTGTTTTCAACACTAACATATTAATTACAATTATTACCGTTGTTTATAGAAACAGTATTATTAATTTACAACATAAATAAATACCAAACTAACATGTCTACTTGGAGATGATGAACAATTGTATACAATCAAACTTTTTGTAGGGTAATTCTTATAACTTCCACCTGGAGGATACCATAAAAGTGATAATTCAATATGGCTTCCATATGTCCACTGACGACCAATCATAATGAGATAATCCCATTCTTGAAGCTTTGGGATTATTGACAATACTTGACCATAGAAGTTCAGTTTATCAACTATACGGAATAAATTGGACAAATGCAACTCTATTGTAACGACTGAATTCATGCATGAAGTTATATCTCACACAGAGTAAAAAAGGGACTAAAAATTATGATAATGTGAATATATTTATTTCTAAATGTAGTCACCCCGCTCCGTATGAAACCTGTCAGCATCATAGACAAGTAAAATTTAGTGAAGTTTTGGCTATACTTCATTTTTTCAGAAATAATAAGAAATCGTGTATGAATATTGTATATACATATAATCTTTGTTATTATAACTATTATAATCAGTCATTTAATTGCTATCATGACTTTACTTGAAACCAGACTCTTTTATAGATATGTTTATACTGTATTCGAATGGATGAAATCGGAGGGTGATAACAAGTAAAGAATGGATAGGAAATAAATAAACAAACTAGACGATAATTTGTAAGAATGTTTATCTAAATTTGAACGAAGTTTCATAGTAATTGGGCACCGAATTAATATAAGACATTAAAAAGCAAAATTAAATTTTATTACTTATTTTCGCTGTTAGAATAAAAGATTCAATTAAAAATTCAACCCCGTACGAAACCAGGTATAAAACAAATTAGGTAATAACAACTGTTCAGTTATTTTGGGTTTCCCAGTTGATAAAATTGACTGTGATAAAAATGATCACTAAATAAGATAAAACACGTCGTTTTTTATATCTTACGACACTAGATTCCTACTACACACGAACAGATTATTTTTGTTATGGGTTAGAACTTTGTGACTTGAACACATTGTGGATTTAACAGTTGAACTCATGAGTCAATTGAAGTTACACCATGGAAAACTTGGAAGCACTGGACGGTCGTTTTATCCTAGTATGGGACTCCTCAGCAGTGCACATCCACGATCCCGCCCGCGGAATTCGGACTCAGGATTTTAAAATAAATTCGTAGTATGTTGATCAGATGATATGTGACCAAGTGATGACTGTTAGCGAAACAGGATTATTGACGCAAACTTCCGAATAAATTGACATTAAAGACAAGAAAATTGGTCAAGAGAACAGGTTTTACATATGATAAAATAAAACCTCTCAACAGAAAAATAGCAATATTAAATGTCATAAACAGTTTGAAAACAAGAATTTTGTAGATCACTCAAATGTCAAGGGAATTAAGACAGCGTGTTTAGACTTTATTTTTGTCCCACACGTCAATTCCATAAAAAAGGATTTTTTTGACGTATATACAGTCAAAATTTAATAATTTTAATTAAATGATAACCATACCTGACAACATAAGTCTGTCATTCCATTTATGTATAAACTCTTTATCAGCCCAACGATGAATTACATTATTACTGGGAACAATAAGATCTAACTCCATATTTTTATTGTCCAACGACAAAACATTTCGTACATTTTCAAATTTCGCTTGACCAGATGATATTACTAATTGACTGAAATGATTCAAGCCAAATTGTGCTATTTGAATTGGATATGGATAACCGCGAGAACTCCATTGTTGACTGATTGGTACTCCTAGTATGCATGATTGTTTGTATTTGAATGTAAATACACAAATAAGTTGTGATTCAACTTTTTAACAAGATAATGAACGAAATGAATTGCCAGATATATGCACTATAGAAAACTTTCACCGCAATATATGAAGTACATTCGATAAATGGGAATGGATTTATGAGTATTTAGCTCAACTACCATACTTAAAATATTTTAGATGGAGAGAAAAAGTGTCATTAAAAAATGGTCCAATGTATCAGTTATACAAACACAAATGAACCAAAATATACTCGCTCACTGTAATACGATGAATAATTATATTACTGATAATATGAACATTTGAAGTTTGATACCTGATAAATATGAAGTACACTGGACAGAAGTCATCACCATTCTGTTATACTCTTTGAATAAGTGGATGAAATATCTGATTTGGTGAGACCGGAACAAGACTATTTAAGATCGTCACGAAAATAAGGACCAAGGTTATTACAGGTTGACTCAAGAGTGGAATCTTACAACTCTTTGAGGGGAGGTGACAGAGCGCTATCAGGAGTAAAACTATTGATTAGACCATCATGATAGTTATCCAATTTGACATTTGATTGAATTTTGACAAATTCGACAACTAATTATTTCGGTATTTTGTTCTATTTGATTCTGACAATTTCTGTTATGCACTGATCCAGTTTTGATCTTTGTTCAACGTAACATTTGTTTACATGTTATGATTATTTAAATGTAATATTCTCTGCAAAACAATCTATAAATAAAGAGTGGCTTTTTTGACAAAATATATTCTTTACATTCACAGATCAGACCTAGTAATCCTAACAGTTAGGGGCTGGGTCAAAATTATTAGATGGATAGCATTAAGCATTAATTGCGTTAAGTCTCGAGTCACTGTTGAGTTTATATTTTCGAATCGCATAGCAAAGAGCAGGTTATAAAAATATACAGCAAGTGTACAGGAATGGTTTAAAATTTGCGTCCATAAATTATGCTAGTATTTCACAACTCCAACTTCAATATAATGAATGAAACTACATCAGTTCTCTTTTTCCCTTTCCCACTAACTTGAGTAAGAGTACTAGTGGTTGATGATGACCCCATCATAATTGAAAATACATCTAACTTAATTGATTGTATGTCAATAACAATCATTAGAATCTATGAACCAAGTATTTGTCACTAAATACAAATCATAATAAAAATGTACTGAAAGTTCATGAGAAGAAATCATATTGAATAATTTAATCCAGTGGAGATCCATCTTCATCGATATTGACTTCCTTTATCATAAGTTGTGTTTGGTGATCGCACATCCCCAACAAATGTATGTTCAAATAATGTGTCCATCAATCGAGTGTAGTGATACAAACCAATTAATTAGTATCTTCTAGCATGCTTTTGACCAGCTATCGTTTTCAGCTTCCTAAATTTTACATTCCAGCTTGTTCAACACTAAACTGAATCGTGGTTTCCAACCTAGAAACATAGATTTTGTGTTAATCAGTTTAGAAATTGTATAAGAAACCCTTTACTTAGTCAGTCGATTGCAGGGAAGAAAGGAAGGAGAGGGTAGTACATTCTTGGTTAACATTAGTGTATACATATAAGTGGACTGACTTCATTATACATGAACTATACATTATTTAAATTAAATCCAACAGTTGTTGCTTGATTTTTCACATAGCAGAATTCGAAGGTCATTTCTATGCCACAGACTGAAAACAGTTGAATTACTGTAAAAAAATCAACTTAATTTTTGTCCTATCTCAAACTCATTAAATAACAAAATAGTTTAATATAAGCGCCAGAATCAATGGTGATAACAGTCACAATTAACATAAGGTGTTAACACACAAAAAGAAAATCTACATTCCATGAAATTATAGGTCATAGCATACCTTCATCTGCAACGATTAATTTCACATTATCTCGTTTTTCTACATTGGATTTATGGAATTGCATATATATACCAACAGGATTATGTTTATTCAAATATGGTTTTGGGACGTCAACATTGGCGTGATTCCAATAAAATGTGCTAGACGATAAATCAAGGGATCCATAAACCTAAATATGAAAACGATCTAGTTTAGTAATACGAAAAATTAATTACTACTTATTAGTGGTCAAATAATCATATTTTAGCTAAATTGTTCATTATCTTTTCATATTTCCAAGTACTGCATACATATGTAGTCGTATGACTCCAAACCCTTATATTTATCACGTTGTTATTTAAACGTTTGCACTTAATTCTATCAGCTTGTGTTTTGGAGATAATTTAACACTACAGTAGATCATTAAGAAACATTGTAATATCTTAGAAAGACTCTGTAAGAATCCATCGAAAATTTGAATTTAATAATCAAATATGATCAACACGAAAAACATTGAACAATAAAATTGTGAAAGATTGAAGAACTTGAGTAGTACTTAGTGTAACATACCAATTAATTTTAAAATAATTCATTTCAGAAGTCTATTTAGTAGCGATAGATTAATAAATCTGTAAGAAAATTTGTTCACAACTACCAACTTAATCGTAATGAGTAAAACTATGTACTACCAATAATCAACTGAGAAGGATATTAAAATATCTCAGAGAAAACGCAGGCTGATTTCCATGATAACTGGAGAGCACATCTGTGGAAAGCACTTAAAGTTGTGAAGGATTTTTATTCCTTGAAGGGTCTAGAGCGAGATATCCCATGATTATAATACACAGATATCCATAGGATCTTAAAGATTCTGTGAAACTTGTGGTATTCATCATTAATGATATACAATCAATAGAATAAAAAAGTGTTACCTGAAGAATATTAGAAAGCATTTCACATAATCCAGAAGCAAGTTCTATAAAAATATAAATATAATTTATGCAGGATACATGTCTACTTAAGACTGAAAAAGTTTCCTCACGAAAATCTGGCTCAATCGGTATCCATTTGAGAACCCTGATGTTACTGAAATCCTTCAAGTTGTTAATAAATTATGACCATCCTAATAATTTCAGCCTTGGTTCATCTGTGATGTAGTGCACTACTATACGAATTTGTGAATGAAAATAAACTTGTTTAGTTCCTAATTTCTAGGCAGGCTTTAGCCCATAAGGCAACCTTAACAAAGTATTCTCATTTCCTCAGAAGAGCTATTCCTCTGATCACAGTACACTATCTGTAAAGAGGACTAAGAGCCGAAATTTAACCTTAAAAAGTCACTTAACATGAAATTCAATAAGCGTACTGGAATATTGAATTTCAATTTTTCAGATAGTGCCACTAAACACGCTCAAAATTTTATGGAAAGAGTATACATTTTCAGATTGTTATATTTCTTCACACGCTTTACAGTTACGGTTCCTTTAACATTTACCAACATCATACACATATTGCCCTGAATATAATCCTTAATACATGTTCAAGACTAAAAAGAATAAAAATGACTTCCCACATTTAAGATTAGTAAACGTGCACCAAGACCGTTGAATTTTTACATGGTATAACTTCTATACATAAGTGCTACAGCTTTCACAATTATTATCCAGACATCCATGTCATAATTAAGTGTAACACATTCAATCCACGTTTAATCTTCTTACTTCAATATAAATAGATAGAAATAGGAGCGAAGCACGACTTGAATATCAATAATTCGCAGTAGACGCAACAAATATCAACAGCGAGAAGTCGAAAGATCCACAAAAAGAGATTTCCAAAGTTATCTATATCATCCGATTACATTACTAGTGGTGAATTATTAAAATGGCTTTCTCACACTTTGGGATGCTGATAAAACGTGTTAATTTTATTCATACTGTGGACGAAAAAGATATCCCCATACTCCTGACATCACTCTTTAAAAGTAAAAAAACTAAAATCGTACACAAAAAAAACAAGACAAACCTTAAAATAATTACGGACTAATTCGAATGGTATGAGTACTTCTTGTGATTTCAGCAAATAGCATCCGAATATTAGTTTTTCATTTACTATGCACCGGATAGAACGAACAGAGTCTGAGTTTAATCTTTCAAATTCACGAGTGGATCTAAGTGATAAATGACAATTAAAGTTAAAAGTACCTGTCATATACATTTTTGAAGCCGTTTCCTTTGTAATCAGATTCATGACTGTGGTCGGAACCCCTTAAAATTTACAGAATCAGCTTGTTTAATAACTCAGAGTACTTTTCAGATCCCGAATAATATGAGACATTCCCCAATCTCCACAGTACGACAAAAGCTGTTAACACCGCCAAAAAACCGAAGAGACGAACAAAATATAAAAACCTTACACGCATGGGGCTTTGAAAGTTGATGAATCGGCGCAACTTGTTAGCATATTAAAATAACTTGTCACAACCACATACTCAGTTATTTGGATGGATCAAATTGATCAAAATTAGGTGTAGCAAAGAATCTTGTTTGAATGTTAAATCAACACTTAGACAAATATTCTAAAGATGATACGCAGGGAAAAAACTTGAGAGAACGGAGATTTGATTAGGGAAATATCAAGTATTTTAAACTACCAATTTAGCTTAGTGGAGTGCATTATTTTGTTTTGCACAGTAAAGTAACGTACTACTATCAAAGTACTTACTAAATGATAACATTATAGTCCCTCATTACTGTTAGGACAGTACGGTAACTGAGCATAACTTTTTGCGTGCAGTGGTAGATAAATCCCCACGACAAATAGTTCTGCACGTATTTGACACCAACATTCACCTCATTAGTTTTAATGGAAACACCCTAGTTAAAAGAGCTCAATCAAGCATCTGTACAAGATCAACATTGGGTTCACCATGGTACGCATCCATTGCAACAACTAATCAGTTTATATAACATACTTTACGACACTGACTAGCCATAAAATATATCTTGGAACTTCTTTATTTCCATCTTTTGACTGGGTTTAAGATAATCGATTATAAAGGTTTTATGGATAATGGCCTCGTCATATGTCCTCTATCGACTGATGACGTCGATATAACGTAAAAATAAGATATAAATACGAAATGCGTTGGAGACTTGTAAATTTAACAACAAACAAATCATAAGATAGCAATGGATATGGCAATTATTTTTATATGTAGAAGTGGACTGTGTATAAAATACAGTAAAGGGAATATATATATATATATATATATATATATATATATATATATATATTTCGAGGCTAACAGTGAACAAGTACAACGTGCTAATGGCCTTGAGTTGGCCAGTCAGAATTAAGATAACGCCTTATACACCTGAAGCAAAATTCAAAGTGTATTAATAGAAAAAGTCAATGTCACTACTAACCAAGTATCTGGTCCTTTAAATTCTCAAAATTAGTGAAAATCTCTGTGAGACTACAATTTAGAAACTGGCCGAATCGTGAATTCCGGTGCGAAATGCATTCACTTATAAAGTTATAACCAAAAAAGGGGAAATAAAGGCGAACAACTGGGAAATAAAGGAGAAAACGCATCAGAATGTCACTTTTTCCGCCTGTCCGGGGGAAATAATGCGGATTTCCCCCTTTTTCGCCGTGTTGTCGATAAATTACTCATTTTTCTCCTAAATATCCGCAGAATATTCGAATTTTCACCTAAATATCCGCCGAATTGTCTACTTTTTGCCTTAATTTCCGCGGAACTGCTTACTTGTACGATTAATTGTCTACTTTTTGCCTAAATACATACAAAACCCCCCCCTCATTTTCCATCCATTGACACAACCCCAAAGGTCTCCTATGTTCGCCTTTATTTTCAACAACAGACCGAAATATATCTGCGATGCAGTGGAAAACCGGTACATTTTTGAAAAATTTTATTTAAAAGGAAAAGCTTATTATTGTGCAACACTAGAGCAGAAGCTTAAGCATCGATTGTTTTGCATATCCAATGCAACTGCTAATTCATTGTTATTTGAAAGTATCTGCGAAAGAAGGAACAGGCGATTTATTATTTATAAGGAATGTGCATTTAATCAGAAGTTAACTGACAGTCAAACACACATTCTCAGCACTTCTACAGTTCCCCATGTAAGTAAAAAAGTAAGCTGTTTGGCAAAATAATGTTTATTGAAATGTATGTAGAACATCAAAAAAATTGCACTGATTATTCCCTTAAGCCACGTTCGTTCGGCTATTGAGAATTGAGGTAGTCGTCCCGTGAATTCTGAATTTAAAAAAAGAAAAAAAGTCATATTCATATCTCAATGACATGCTTTGGCACGGCCAAATACTTGAAGCTGAACTTACGGTTATGTTCGTTAATATTGTTGACTGTAACTATAGAGCCGTAGGGAAGGTGTCGTCTGTTCTTTGCAAAAGTCGTCTTACCCTCCAGCCGTCTCCCAAGTACAGTACACCTATCGCAACCTGCTTTAGCGTTATGATTTACAGTGTACCTAACAGAAGAACGAGCAGATGCGTCACATATAACAGCCGCCAACCTAATAGCTATGCATTTATTAAACTTGACACTAAAAAGACCCACGTCAGTCATTTCTTTTATTTCAGAAATTGTGTTCGCAGAAAATTCGTTGAATTCTGCTATTTATAAATAGTATTTTGTCACTACAGCTGATGTCAGTTCTTGATAAAATATTTTACGTCAGTCCCTCACCTTAAATTTCGACTCTGTTTCCTATTCCTAACTCAAACTAGTTCATAGCTTCTTTTGGTTGTAGTAATTAGTTGAGTTTACTCTAAGTTACTTGAGCTTCGTTCAAAGGTCGTCCAAATGTTATATTTTTACCAAAATATCCATTGTGCAAAAAGAATTTTAGATGGTGCTAAGGCTAAATGGCATAGCATACCTCCCCTTATGGCAGACTGAGTGTTAATGTACTTGATGTCGTTCATCGTGTAACCAAGTGTGTTTAGGGACACTAAATAACAATTTACCTTCTTAACTCTTGCTCTAAGTCTTCACTCTTTGGTAAGTACAGATTTTATGGTACCGCATTATCACTGCCAGTTACTGATTGACCAAGAGCCTCACTCCCCTGTCGACGTAACTTTTCTGGTTCAATTTCATTTGTAAACTAGATTATACGTAACTAGGCTAACCCTAATTCTATCATGTGTTTGGTTTTAAGTTCTTTCCTTCCACACTGATCTTCATCTTCATACCTCAGATGATGGGGTGACAACTCCGAAATATCATAGGAATTATAGTAGGTATATCGAATTTTCTGTTCGAAGATTCAAAAGAAAGTAATTTCCTATGGGCATCACTTTAAATTAATCCGTACTGTTGAGTCTCGGCATAGCCAAAGTCAGGATAAGTAAGCTGTTTAGCTCCGTAAAGTTCTCTTATTCATCCCATTAAAGGTTTTCTCTTATTCCAAGAAGTTGATACATAGCGATGAGTTGCACTTGACCGATTATTCAACTGTGATCGGCCGTGTCACGATTTGATTGATACATGAATATTACCCCTCTTTCTAATCTGTCGTTATTTGTCGTAAATATCAAATCTTTCTGAAGAGAACGTGGGGCATCTTCACAGTCATCACTATGCCTAGCTTCAGTCCCTAGGCTTATACACTGCTTGGTTTCGCTGCCTTACCACTCTTCGTTTGTCTGATGGCCATACTAATTTTTATTGTCTTCACAATAACATCTACGGGAAATTCTGTATATTCTGCTTCGATATCCAGTATTTTCAAAGAGGGTGGTTTGTTCAAGAGCTCTTAAACGTGTTCTACATGTTCTACTGCTCCTAAGTTTCAGTGATTTGCTTACCATTCTCATTGTTTATGTTCTATGATATCCACACCCGGTGTTTTCTGTCCTGATTTTCGCCTTTGAGTCACCTATCAAGATGGTCAGTTCATTTCCTGTTTATATCTCCATGATTAACTGCAGCCATCCTCTCGATGATATTGCTAGTCGCGCAGAGCACTGGATGACATTGATTGTGATCCCCTTTCTCTCTGATTTGGAAGATACTTTGGTGATTATTAATCGATGATACTACTTTTGTTTAAGTGTTTTTCGTTCTTTTTTGAAGGTCATCAGTTCAACCTTTTACGTGTCCAAAACGTTTTCTTTTCCGCAGCCAGGATACAACTGCACATCTCCTGAGACTAACCTCTTCTTCTCAGAGTGCTTTCAATGGGTTTGACTTAGTGTAAACCACTTCGGAGACCATCTCCAGATTGTTTTTTTCATTTTCGTGGCAATTTAAATGGTCGCTTAGGCCTCCTACATTTCATACGCATTTAATACACGTATATTAGTTGTTGCTCTGATAGTCAAAAGAGACACTGGCCCATGATTTACAAAGACTCTCGGCTTTCATTATGAGGTGGAAGGATTTCAGATTGAGTTAATTTGTTTAGGTATAATCTTATGCTAATTGTTTCGTTTCACGCCATGTATTTTTTCAATCAATTCCAAGCACTTCATGGACCTGTAGTGGTGTCGGCTCCTAACCACACGATCTTTGGAGCTGAGTGCATAATAAATAAAAAGATTCGCATTCAACATGTAACACTAAGAGCAGGTCAACAATGACGAACGCAAAGAGAATTGATCCAAATTGCTTGGCTCGGACACGCAGGCGTGGTCACAATAATCTCTTGCTTTTTGTATCGGCTATATTAACAGGCCAAATATTGTCAATTTCTACTTTGTTCATAACAGAACATAAGTTTTATTTCAACAAACATTCGACATCTCACAAAACTTGTGAGGCAGTGTTAATCATAATAAATTCATTGAAGTCTATCAGTGTATTATACTTTTACCGATAACTAAAGTGGTCGCATAACTCCGATTCGCGGTGAGTCATTATATTTATTACGGTTTACAAGATACTTGTAACGAGAATATATAGATCGATTCAGTTTTTCACGTCCGCCTCCTTATGTTTTGGTATGGTTCCATGTTTTAGTTAATGTCCAATACAAAGTTGCCGAGCCCTTACACCGAAGAGATTCTTGTCATTTTAGTAGTTATTTGTGAGTTTTCATGTCTTGTAACCCAAGTAAGTACGTTTGTCTTAAGTCAGTGGGGTTTTCAAAAGCAGTGGCTATCACATTCACAAACGGTAAGTCGGTTAGCTGCATTGTGAAAAGTAATCAAGTTCTAAATAAAGGTGTTGGTAGAAGGCGTTTGTCCCATGAAGTCATGAAACAATGAACTTCATAAACCGTGGAAACGGTGTGAGTAGATCAAAGTCCTATGTTGCTTGGATCCGGAAGTCTTAAACTGGAAGCTGATCATTTGTTAAAAAGTAGTCTAATGTTGGACCGCCGTTATATATATATTTTTAATCCTCGATTATTATCTTTGGAACCACGACCGTATATACTGAAGAAAATGATGCAACATGTACCTTCAAACTGGTTTTCTAACAGACTTGCGTCTGTTGACAGACCTCTTTCTAATCGTTCGCAAAGTTAAAATCAGCTGATATTCTATGTGAACATTATGATGGAGATTTCAATTAAATATTTCGAGTATACCCTAGTATGATCGAGCAAATTGAAAGATACACAAAAATCAAACGAAGTAGTCGGCAAAGATTCAGCTTATAATGTCATTAGGGTAGAATGATATTTGCTGATATTATTGACAGAATTACAAATCATCTAGACATTAGTGGGAATGAACGTCCAGTCATGTTTGTTTGGTCCAAACTTAGATGAAATCAGATTTTACTTAGAAACAATAAGAATTCAAAGTCATAATATCAGAAATCATGCGAACACTAGCATGATAACAGAAACGCCAAACGATTCCGAATTTTGATCAGCAACAACTTCGCTTTCGTATCAAACTAACTCTAATTTCCATCAGTAACCATGCAATAAAATTAGAATATTCCATTATTTATCGAATTGCGGATTCCTTCAGCTACTATCAATATATGTTAATCTTCCATTTGTCTTCTACTCTTCCGATCAATCTGTCAAAATTCCTATTATTTTACCTTAATTTCAGATCACAATGTGGAACCGGTTCATATGTTGTATATAGTCAACATGCTTACCCGTAAAGTCAGTAAATTGAAGATATGCAAATGTCATGTGTTTACATAGCTTCCGAAAATTTTTAAATAATCGATAGCTGCATGTATCTTATTCTATGTCATTTTTAGCGACTGAATCTTTCTCACGAAATTAATACTTGTTGGCTATTCATTTCCAGTACATAGTAATCCTGGCATACCGTGATCTCCGATAACTAAAGAGGTTGCGTTCACTGTTATACAAACTACCGG